TAAGGAGGGAGGGGGGATAATGTTGCTTCAGGGAGTAACTGCGTCCCATAGACCAAAAACAAGTTGGTTGCCTAATGCAGCTCCAGTTTGAATTTATTAATATTGCATCGCCTGCAGAGTCTGAAAAAATATCAATCTCCAGGTGCCAGCTCAGACAATTTGACTCAAAAAATCTCTGTGGGTTGGGCCCATGCATCAATATATTTCTTTAGAAGCCTCTCTAGGTGATTTTAATGTGCATACAGGACTGAGAACCCTTGGTGAGGAGGGAAGAAAGAGGATCCTTTCCTATTTGTTGTGGCAGGAGTGTATCTATCCAGTTCATCAAAAAGCTCCATCAGGTTACTTAGACTAACATGAGAGAGGAGAACCCTGGAACCCCCTACTTCCATTTTATATCATTAGGATTGAAATTCAATCTGTCTAGAGTTCACTCTTGCTACTCTGATACTAGCAGGGCTGTGGTAAAACTCACCAGAAGTAGCAATTGTCTGGGATCAATATCAGGATCATGCACCTCAGCTCACAGAAAGTTCCTGCCAACAAAATCAAAAGTCGATAACAGATCAATACATACCAGAGAGGAAAAAAGTCTTAAATTACTCATAGTTTATCTAATAAAACAGAGGATAGCATAAATTAAAAATAGAATAACCTTTATTCAAGATGTTCAATGGATGCAAGAAAACCTGCAATGTAATAATAGTGTTTTAAAGGGATAGCCAACACTCCAATAACATGTTTACAATAATTGCCATACACTCCAATAGTCTATATAATATACATAACATATGTATGTAATCTGAAGTTAAGGTAGAAAGTTGTCATTTCGGAAATGATTTGGTGAACAGAAGAGCAGTTGGGTTTAGAGGGAAGAACACCATCTGATGTTCATAGACCTCTCATAAGCCCTGAATCCACAGTTTACAGTTTACCTTGAAGGTGTTTCTTCCTTTATGAAATGTGGTTACTCGGCCAGGTGTGGTGGCTCACACTTGTAATCCCAGCACTTTGGGAGGACGAGGTGGGTGGATCACCTGAGGTCAGTAGTTCAAGACCAGCCTGGCCAACATGGTGAAACCCCGTGTCTACTAAAAAAAACAAAAAATTAGCCAGGAGTGCTGGTAGGTGCCTCTAATCCCAGCTACTCAGGAGGCTGAGGCAGGAGAATTGCTTGAACCTGGGAGGCGGAGGTTGCAGTGAGCCGAGATTGTGCCATTGCCTGGGCAACAAGAGCAAAACTCCATCTCAAAATAAATAAAATAAAATAAAATGTGGTTACCACTACTACTAACATATTCATCACTAGGTTGTAATGAGATAATATATGTGGAGGTGCTTTGGAAATGAAAAAGCACTATGCTAATGTTAATTATTTTAATTCATCATGAGGGAATAACACCTGTGTTAATTACTCTAGCTTCCTAAGAACTGAAGTCTATAATCCATAAGGGGATACTTAAAGGGGCATTTATTAGCTTAATAAATTAACTAGTTTTTTTTTAATAAGTAACACATGGCTGATGGCAAAGAAAGTTAAATAACATGAGAGAATATTTATTAAAATGTAGATTTCCCTTACAGTCTCCATCTTCTTCCCTGAGAAGCAATCATTAATAGGTCATGAGTACACTGAAATTTTCTATACATATATATAAACACAACTTTTACATTATAGGAATAGGAACACAATCTACTACACTTCTTCACTTTGTTGTTTTCATTTAGTAGCATGGTTTGGTGGCCATCAGATTAGCAGAGTGCTTATAACATAGCACCAAATAGTGCCTAGGACGGACAAGACCAATGCAAGTGTCTTCCCAGCAATAAGTGGTGGTGGTGCCCTCCACTTTCTGCCCTTCCCGCCATCTTTCTAGTTCAGTCTCCATTACCATCTGTCTAGATTCTTGCCATGGTCTCATAATTGGTCTCCTATATTTTATTTTAATTCAGCAATATCTATGGAATATTCACTGTGTGCCAGGGATGGTGCTAGGCTCTGGGCTTGGAAGTGTTGATCACAAGATAGATTTGTCACCCACACAGAGTTTGCAGTCTCCTGGGGTGAGGTGGGGGTGGGGTGCAGAGAAGTAAGCAGGTATTCCTTCATTCATCCGTTCAACACATATTTAATGAGTGCTTTCTAAATGCCAGGCCTCCTGCTAGGAGTTAGAGACAAAAAGATAAACAAGATAGTCAAGGTCCTCAACTTCCTGGGGCTTACAATTTAGTGAGCAAGACAAAGATAAAATAAGAAACCCATAAATAAAATAATTACAAATGGTCACAGATGCTACAAAGGAAACAAGTTGCTGAGATAGGATGTAATGGGTCATCATGCTTTTAAAAGGGTGGTCAGGAAAGGCTCCTTGAGAAAGTGCCAGTTAGGCCAACACTGAGGATGAGAAGGAGCCAGCCATTGGAATAGTGGTGGGAAAAATAGTTCCAAATAGAGGGCTCAGCCTGTGCAAAGGTCCTGGACTGGAATGATCTTGGCATGCTGAGAAAGTGAAGAGCTGGGGAGTAAATAATAGACAAATTAAGTTTGGGGAGTTGGTGGTACCATAATTCAGGATCATAGTAAATAGTTTGACGTTGACTTTATTCTAAGAAGAGTAAGAAGCCAGGGAAGGATTTTGACGCAGAGAAATAACCTGCTCTAATTTGTGTTTGAAGAAAGTCACTCTTGGTGCTGGAGAGGGGCATAGAATGGAATGAAAGCAGAGAGAGCATTTAGGAAGCTTTTACATTACAGCTGGTAAGAGGTGAGGGGGTATGGCTTGAGCGGGGGCTGGCAAAGGGGAGAAGTGGGTGAATTTGAGATACAGTTGGAGCAAGGTTTACCAGTGCTTTCTGAAGGACTGAAAGTAGAGGGGAAATGAGGGAACAAGAATGTCTTCGGGTGTTGGGCTCAAGCAATCTTGGAAGGCTGGTATTGCCATTTTCTAAGTTGAGTGAGATTTGCAGGCGGAGCTGGAGGGCCAAGGTGAAGATGAGGGTGTATAAGTTATATTTGAGACATTTTTGGAACACATTGTTGGAGCTGCTAAGTACATATATTTTGAAGTTAAATATATTTTAAAGGGACGATGGTAGATACACTTTGAGACTTGCTTAGCCTTTGTTTTTTTAATGTGTTTTTTAACGTGTAGAAATGTTCAACAGGCAATGAAGGATCTGAGCTGGGAGCTTGGGAGAGAGGCCAGAGCGACAGATGATACCAGGCACGTGAAAATTTCAACAGAAGGGCATGAGGAGTTCCCTTGATCGTCTATACCTCTGCATAGCTCATGCTGACCACAACCAACAATGAATCTCCTCTTTTCCTCCCCATATCACAGTGTGCAGCCCATGTTGACAGGTCTTCTAAATCTCTCCAAAAGTCTTAACTCTCAGTGTTAAAGTTGAATATGGTATTAATCCTGTCATTTAGAAAATGCCTTCAAGTTGCTCAGCAGGATGGTGACACATGAAGTTTCAGAGTGAAATGCAGAGTTTTCCTGAGATATGGTATATTTGCCATTGTAAAGTTTCCTTATGCTGATTCCCCAATTCAAGGTAGCAATGCTACCAATATGCTTATCTGAAATGATAGGGTAAGCTCTTTTTTTTTTTTTTTTTTTTTTAGGAAATTGAGCCTCAGAAACATAAGATGGAGTCTTGCTCTGTCACCCAGGCTGGAGTGTGCAGTGGCGTGATCTTGGCGCACTGCAACCTCTGTCTCCAGAGGTCAAGCAATCCTCCCACCTCTGCTTCCCTTGTAGCTAGGATTACAGGCGTGCACCACTATGCCTCACTCATTTTTTTTTGTATTTTTAGTAGAGATGGGGTTTCACCATGTTGGCCAGGCTGGTCTCAAACTCCTGACCTCAAGTGATCTGCCCACCTCAGCCTCCCAAAGTGCTGGGATTACAGGCGTTAGCCACTGCACCAGGCCTAGGGTAAGTTCTTTAACTGACTCTGTAATTCACTGGCTATAAGATCTCATAAGCAAGCCACTTTATGTTTCTGAGGCTCAATTTCCTCAATTGTAAAAGAAATAGAACATATTAAACCACCTATAAAGGCTCTTACCACCTATAATATTCCATGATTCAATTATTCCACCCATTTACCATGGGCCCCAAACACTCACACTGAATCATTGTTTACATCCTTTTCCAAGACAGAGCAACAGGAAAAAGAGAGTTCAGATTTCCACTGAGGACCAGGCAGTAAACAGGCAGAGGTCTAAGACCCTAGGGGCCACAAATACCACTTTCAGGGTCACTCATCACCAGTCCCACTTTGTAAAAAAGCAGATTATCCAAACATCTTAGGACAGCTGTGGCTCCCAAAGAAGTGAGACAAAACGTAAGGGGAGGGCTTAATGTTCTTTTGCATGATTTTATTTGAAATCTGTTTTACGGGATTTGCTCTAAAGGCTTTTCTGTGATCATAGTGAATCCCACTTACAGAGCTGAGAATACCTGTGTCTTCAGAATCAACTAATTCAGCAAAGACATGGGCTGTAACTCATTCGTCCACTCATTTAGTAAAGACATGGGGCAAAGGTACACATTTATTGATTATGAAAAGAGTTTTACCATAATAATGAAACCCACCCAGGGTGAATCTACTGTATATCACTGCAAATATTTTGTGGTCATATTTGAGATGCTTTGGGGATATTTCAATGGAGTTGTTAAATAGGTAGTTAAATACATAATTTCAAGACTGAATTATACCCTAAACCATAATACTTTTAGTACTTTGTAAACAGGATTAACCTAAAGAATTACTAAAGAATGCTGTAGGATATTTTCTTCCATTTGATAAACATTTCTACTCATCCACAGCTTATTTTGTTTTAGGTTAAATCTATCAGAGTTTAAATTCTTTACTTACTGGTCTAATTTCTTCACCTTCATTATATAATAAAGTTTTTTATTTATTTGAATATCCATAATGCAAACTCAAACAACTGTCAACTTAAGAATATGACTAGAAGAATTTTAGGCAAGAATTATACTTATGGGCCGGGCGCGGTGGCTCAAGCCTGTAATCCCAGCACTTTGGGAGGCCGAGACGGGTGGATCACGAGGTCAGGAGATCGAGACCATCCTGGCTAACACGGTGAAACCCCGCCTCTACTAAAAAAAATACAAAAAAATTAGCCGGGCATGGTGGCGGGCGCCTGTAGTCCCAGCTACTCGGGAGGCTGAGGCAGGAGAATGGCGTGAACCCAGAAGGCGGAGCTTGCAGTGAGCCGAGATGGTGCCACTGCACTCCAGCCTGGGCGACAGAGCGAGACTCCGTCAAAAAAAGAAAAAAAAAAGAATTATATTTATGGGCTAGGGAAGAAGCAGTGGGATTAATAGGAAAAGCACAGAGGATTTGGATTTGTAGGGTAATGAAAATAATTTGTATGATACTATCATGATGGATAGTATATACATTTTTTAAGACAGGGTATCGCTCTGTCACCCAGGTTGGAGTGCAGTGGCACAATCTTGGCTTACTGCAGCCTCGACCTCCCAGCTTCAAGCAATTCCCCCACCTCAGCCTCCTGAATGGCTGGGACCACAGGCATGTGCCACCATACCCAGCTAATTTTAGTTTAGTTTTTTTTTTTTTGAGATGAATTTTCGCTCTTGTTGCCAGGCTGGAGTGCAGTGGTGCCATCTCAGCTCACTGCAACCTCTGCCTTCCAGGTTCAAGCGATTCTCCTGACTCAGCCTCCTAATAGCTGGAATTAAGGCATGTGCCACTATGCCCGGCGAATTTTTTTGTATTTTTAGTAGAGACAGGGTTTCACCATGTTAGCCAGGTTGGTCTCGAACTCCTGATCTCAGGTGATCCACCCACCTCAGCCTCCCAAAGTGCTGGGATTGCAGGTGTGAGCCACCAACCCGGCATCATTATACATTTGTTCAAGCCCATAGAATGTACAACTCCAATAGTGAACCCTAATGTAAACTATTGACTTAGGGTGATAATAATGTCAATGTAGTTCACCAATTGTAAAACATGTACCACTCTGGTGGGGGATGTTGATAATGGGAGAGCCTGTGCATGCATGGGGGCAGGAGGTATATGGAAAATATCTGTACCTTCGTCTCAATTTTACTGCAAACCTGAAACTCCTCTAAAAAATATAAAGCCTTAAAAAACACAATATGGTGCTGACCAATCAGAATGATCATTGAGCTGAAGCAAGAGATGCGGTTGCACCACTGTGTATGGGCCGAATAGCGGCCTGACTTCAGTGTGGTATTAAATTAATACATTTTTATTTCTGTTTTAAGATAGCTACCTCAAACTTGAAAACTTACAGAGACCAAGCAAGTGATGTACACAAGGAAAGGAAGCTAGGGGTCAGCAAAATACAGATGATCGAGATTGGGTCCGAGGTTAAAGCTCGGCAACTGTCAGGACTTAATGAGCTCCAGCTGGTTGTTGCTTTTGGCAATGTAGATTGAAAATGATTTTTCAAAACAATTTCGAATTTGAATTTTTGGCAAAACAACTGTATGGGCTGGGACTGACCCAAAGAATACCTGTTTGCTCACGTGTATTCTAAGCCAAGCCCATTCCTTAGCTTTTGCTGGACAAAGTACAGAAATTTCTAACTTGTTTTGAATACTCTTTGCCCCGATTGACTCAGAAGAAGTCAATAAATTCAGAACTCTTGCTTCTTTTGAAAACATAATTGCATTTCTATAATAAGTGTTTGTTTATTTAAGTGTGTAATAAGCAAATTGCTTTTTTGGATGGATGTTTATCAATCCTATTTTAAGGAAATAAACTCTTCAATAAACATAAACCTGCATTATACTATACCTTATATACTTTTTAATCTTTGGCCTTTTCCTGACCCTCAACTTTTGTTCTCTTTCTGCAGAATTTGAATTTTTTTACTAATTAAATAAAAGGCAAATGTAGATGTAAAGGGGTACAAGTCATCCTGAATGTCACCCGCATGCATTTTCTTCTGCATTCCAGCTGGAACCATTCCCAATTAATTAGATTTGATTTTTTTTTTCCACGAAAGTAGAAGAGGAAGAAATGGAGAAGGGAGGAAAGTGGAAGGAAGCAGTGAAATTAGGGGAGAGTCTGCAATATATAAAAGCTAAAAAGGTATTTCTGGAAAAAAACAGAGATGCAAGATATTTAACTCTTATCTCTCATTGTCTTTTTATTCAATAAATATTTATCAAGTATCTACTCTTTGACAGGTACTGTTCTCGGCTCTGGAAGTAGAACAGACCAGTTCCCTGCTTTCTTAAAGCTTCCATTCTAGTGAAACTGATAAAGTAAAGGAGAAATAAAAATAAATAAGCAAGAGCCTGGCATGGTGGTGCCCACGTGTAGTCCCAGCTGCTTGGGAGGCTGAGGTGGCAGGATCGCTTGGACCGGGGAGGTCAAGGCTACAGTGAGCTGTGATTGCACCACTGCACTCCAGCCTGGGTGATAGAGTGAGATCCTGTCTCTAACAACAACAACAAAAAGTTTCCTAGTTTTACATTTGCCTTTCAATGTTGTTTACGATATTTATCCAATACAGAAATTTCAAAGGTTTATGTATTTGATCTATTCCTGTGATTTTAGTTGTTTAGTCTTACAAGGCATAAGAATACCTTTACATATGTACACCTATATTTTTTCTAATGCTTTTTACATTTATGTTATCCAAATCTTTGCTTCAAATAGTATTTTTAAAAGAGACAGGGTCTTGCTCTGTCACCGAGACTGGAGTGCAAAGGTGTAATCGAAGCTCACTGCGGCCTCAAACTCCCGGGCTCAAGCAATCCTTCCACTTCAGCCTCCAAGTAGCTAGGAGTATTGTCATGACACCACCATGCTTGGCTATTTTGTTTTTAAGTTTTTGTAGAGATTAGGTCATGTTATGTTGCCCGGAGTGGTCTCTGACTCTTGGCCTCAAGCAATCTGTCCACACTGGTCTCCCACAGTGCAAGGATTATATGTGTGAGCCACTGCGCCAGGCCCCAAATGATATTTTTTTAATAGGAGCACTTTGATAAATAACCTTTCAAATATCTTTTGATGCATATATATACTTATAAATATATGTTTATAATTTTATACAAATGAGATCATAGTATGCATGATTTTATGTATCATTTAGTGATACCATAAACATATTTTCATGTACATAAATATAAATCTATTCCTCATCTTAATGTTTCCATAAAATTGTATCTTTATTCCCTAATTTACTTATTAATTAATGGACACTTAGTTTATCTTCCCAATTTTCCTATTTTGTTACAATGAATATCCTTATTTATAAATCTTTTCACACCTGCAAAAATAACTTGTTAGTATAAATGACTGGAAATTCAATTGCTGGATAATATACATGATGATAAGCATGTTGAAAAACTCTTCTCCAGAAAGGTCATATCAATTTAACCACACCAACAGTGTAAGAACATGGAGTAGTGCCATTTTTCAAAGATTTTGTCAGCCTTTTAAATCTTTGGTAATCTTACACATGAAAAAGAAAGTCATAGCTGTTTTATTTGCATTTTTGTGAATATTAGTGAACTAAAATATTTCTTCATACGTAGGTTCACTGACTCAAACAGGGTCGGCCATGAAATTAGACAAGCCCCCTAAACTGGAGAGACACTAGAAGGGTAGAGCCAGGGAACAAAAGCTGGTATTCACAGAGAGCCAAAACCTCACGATCTGGGGGCTGTTGACAAGTAATGGGTCACTGAGAACAGGGTAAGCTTCAAGAAGACACAACAAATGATAACTGGGTAGGTTAGAGACTATATGTGACAAATTAAAGCAGTGAGTTAAGGTACAGTAAATATTTGAAAACTCAGGGAGGAATGGAAACAAGGGTAATCATTTCAACTGCTGGGCTGGAGTTCAGAAGCAACAGTGCCTCCAATAAGGCTTGTCAAGAACAGATGATCAGCTGGGTACGGTGACTCAAACCTGTAATCCCAGCACTTTGGGAGGCCGAGGTGGGTGGATCACTTGAGTTCACGAGTTTGAATCAGCTTAGGCAACACAGGGAGGCCCCCGTCTCTACAAAAACACAACAATTAGCTCTACAAAACAGCAGGTGTCGTGGCACATACCTGTGGTCCCAGCTGCTCAGGAAGCTGAGGCGGGAGGATCACGTGAGCCTAGGAGTTCAAGGCTGCAGTGAACTATGATTGCACCATTGCACTCCAGCCTGGGTGACAAAATAAGACCCTGTCTCAAAAAACAAAACAAAAAACAGATTACTAACACAGAGACAGAAAATGCGGGAGGACAGTAGGATGCAATGGACATTGTGCTATACACCCAGATACCCCTTCAAAATTAACATACTAATTCCTCCAGCTGCCAGGGCTGCCAGCCTTCTCCAGAAATTGCCCTAGACTGAAGACAGCTGCCATGCCCAAGGTCATTGCCTGTATCCAATGACTGGTCACTGTGGAGGTATAAAAAATTTGCAAAGTAATTTAATAAGGTAACTAATAAAGATAATAGAAAGGGAAAGGCAAAGGCCAGTCCAGATAGAAGTAATTATATGTCCAAAGACACATGTAATGAAGCAGCATGGTGTTCAAAAAATAGAAATGTAAATTGATTTTGCCAGAGGATGGCAGTTTAAAGATAGCCACAATTCTTTTTCATTCTTCCCATCCAGACTTGGGATATTGACTCTGGGCTGGTCATGTGACTTGACTTATTAGTAGAATGAAATGGAAGTAATCTTGTGAAATTTCCAAGGCTGGGAAATTTAGTTATCACCTTTGTAGAAGCCAGTTGCCATGTAAAGTACTTGGGTCAGATTATTGACCAATGAAAGACTGTGGAGAGAAAGGCCATGTGCAGAAGCACCAAGACATCAGAGTTGTCTACAACCAAGCCCCAGATATGTGAATGAGGCCATCTTAGACATTTCAGCTGCAGCTAAGCTTCCAGATGAATGAAGCTATGTGCAAAACTGCACACCTATGTGAATAACCACATGGCACACATGAGCCACCTAGCTGAGTCCAATCAACCCCCAGAATCATGAGATATCATCATTGTTGCTGCAAGTCAGTGTGTTTTGGGGCAGCCTACTAC